CCGGTGGGTTCACGCGAGAACATCGCGGGAGTGAACAGCACTCGCGAGAGGCGTCTGAGGTGCGAAAAAGCACACAACAGCAGCCTCTCGCGGATTCACGAAAACAAAAACTGCAGCCGTACGTACCCGCCGGGACGTATTCCACGGTCTCCAGAAACGTCCGCGGGACTACGTTTCCACAATGAGCCTGGGTTGTTTATAAACATGTGTAATAGTCTGCAGTGTTGTAACTTCTGGGTTGGTGATGTACATTATGCTATAAACACCTTGTAATAAACCGCAGCACAACTGTTATTGTGCAGGCTTATTTCTTTATATAAGACTTCTTATGCATACTATCTACAAAAATATCAATAAAAGTCACTTTGTTAAACTGTAGAGTTTCAACATCACAAGTGGACAGAGGAGAGATCAACATCCCATAATGCAATTCACAACCACAAATAGTACCAATTACCCAATTCACCTATAGCACATGTGTATGGACTGTAGAGGAAACCGGAGGAAACATGCAAACTCCACACAGAAATGTCAACTGTCAAAAGTGACCCTCCTGCTGTAAGGCGACAGTGCTAACCACTGAGCCACCATGTCGCCAAATAAACAAAATAGCATTAATATTTAATAACCTTATAATATTTATATTAATATATCAATTATTTAACGTTTTATTTTACTATAAAATTATAAAAAATATTTATATAATTAAATAAAATATGCACTACATTATTTTATTTTACCATGGTATTACTTAAAATTTACTACGATTTTTGATTCATGTTTAATATATTTGTTCAAGTGAAATATTCAATAACAATAAATAAATGAAAAAAATCTATAAATNATATAAATAAATATATAAATAAATAAATAGATAAATAAATAAATAAATAAATAAATAAATCTAAATTAAAATAATAGAAAAATGATAATAAAGTGAAAATAAACAGAAAATATAATCTTGTAGTAAACAATAATAACAATTTTTAATTATTTGTTTTTGTTTAGTCTGCATCAATCACTGTAAAATATATCTGTAAATGAGCAGTTTTCTGTATTTTGTGGTTCAAGTTTTTATTGATTTTTTATTTATTTCTGCATCTGAGTTTCATTATGGGACTTGATGTTTCTTTTAACAACTTTTCATCTTGAAAAGCCTGAAAAAGTGACTTTTCTGAACATGTGTAATAGTGTGCAGTGTTGTATTGTCTGGGTTGGTGTTGTATATTACGCTACAGAAACCTTGTACTAAACTGCAGCACATCTTCTGTTATTGTACAGACTTATTTCTTTATATATTATTCTTATGCACATTATCTACTAAATTGTTAATAAAAGTGACAAAATGTCGCCAAATGAACAAAACAGCTCAATAAATAACATCAATATTTAATAACCTTATAATATTTATATTAATATATCAATTATTTAATGTTTTATTTGACTGTAAAATTATAAAATATATATATATATATAATTAAATAAAATATGCACTACATTATTTTATTTTACCTTGGTATTTATTACTTTAATTTTACTACGATTTTTGATTCATGTTTAATATATTTGTTCAAGTGAAATATTCAATAACAATAAATAAATGAAAAAAATATTATAAATATATAAATATATATATATATATATATATATATATATATATATATATATATATATATATATATATATATATATATATATATATATAAATCAATCAATATATCAATCAAAATTAAAATAATAGAAAAATGATAATAAAGTGAAAATAAACAGAAAATACAATCTTGTAGTAACAATAATAACAATTTTTAATTATTTGTTTTTGTTTAGTCTGCATCAATCACTGTAAAATATATCTGTAAATGAGCAGTTTTCTGTATTTTGTGGTTCAAGTTTTTATTTATTTTTTATTTATTTCTGCATCTGAGTTTCATTATGGGATCTTGATGTTTCTTTTAACAACTTTTCATCTTGAAAAGTGTGAAAAAGTGACTTTTCTGAACATGTGCAATAGTGTGCAGTGTTTTATTGTCTGGGTTGGTGTTGTATATTACGCTACAGAAACCTTGTACTAAACTGCAACACATTCTCTGTTACTTTACACACTTATTTCTCTACATATTATTCCCTATATCATTTATAACCACTAAAATGTCAATAAAAGTCACTTTGTTAGAATGTAGAGTTGAATTTTCAACATCAGACGTGGACAGAGCAGAGATCAACATCCTATAATGCAATTAACAACAGCAAATAGACTGAAAATACAGGCGAAAAATAAAAACATGACTGACCAAATATGAAAAACTGCTAATTTACAGATTTTTTTTTACAGTGCAGACTCAACAGTGCAGATTCTGTAATGTGACCATTGCAGATGCTGAAATGATAATTAAGCTGCAATACTGTTATTATGATATGATTGAAACCATGCAGTGCTGACCTCATTCGACTGCCGAATACTCTGCAGCGGCATCCAGACATACCCGACCATGGTGTCCCAGATCAGACCTTTATTCCACACCTCCACTGTGAGTCCCAGATCCAGACGATTGATCTCACTAGACAGAGAAATACAGAGAGGAAGAAACGCTGATGAAATAAACCAATCAACTTACAACTGGGAAACCAATGAAAAGGAGAGATCAACCAAACATTCATTGCTCGTTCATCTTCAGCACTTGCATCTGTTGTGGTGGACACACTTGCTGGAAAGCCTGACCTGCCCTCTCCAATCCCCTATGCACACTAAATAATTAGTTTAAGTGTATAATTACCTCCATGCATTGTTGCATTTTGTTTCATAATAAATAATGTTAGAAGGTTGCTTGGTCGCTGGTTCGAGCCTCGGCTCAGGTGGCGTTTCTGTGTGGAGTTTGCATGTTCTTCCTGCATTCACGTGGGTTTTCTCCGGGTGCTCCGGTTTCCCCCAGAGTCCAAAGACATGCGGTACAGGTGAATTGGGTAGGCTAAATTGTCTGTAGTGTATGAGTGTGTGTGTGGATGTTCCCAGAAATGGGTGCAGCTGGGAGGGCATCCGCCTGTGTAAAACTTGGCAGAAGAATTGGCGGTTTCTTTCGCCTGTGGCGAAACCCGGGGTATTAAAGGGACTAAGCCAACAAGAGAGTCAATGGCTGCATTAAATACTAATAATTACTGTTATTTAATAATGGGCGCGGGATGGATGAAATTACGAGAGTTTTTTTGGGAGAAATAACAAAACGGGAGGGTGTCGGGAGATGCGTCTGAAGAACGGGAGTGTTGGCAGGTATGCTCACACATACACTCTGCATTCTGACTACTTCAAAATTTTTGAACGCAGTCGACCAATCGCAACAGATTGGGTCATCTGACTAATCAATGCAGTTTAGCATAATGCAAGGAGGGATTTGGGAACAAATGAATCACTGAAGGAATCATATGGGAGTCGTTGGGATAATTAGGTAAAAATAAATGCAGATTTTGAGACAATGAAAGTGTTTTTTGACCTGGCATGCATATCAGCCTGTTGTTGGAGACCAAGTGTGCCGCAAGCCTGTGTTTGAGTGAAGGTCTCGGCCGTTAGATCGCCCCCTGGGGGCTGGTTGCAGTACAAGTCATAAAGCCCGCCTCCTCCGTGTTAATGAAGGAGACTTGAGCCCAAATAAAAAAATTCATTACACTTGCAATAAAATGTCCCGAAAGATGGTTCTGGTGGATTAAGGCACTGGTTATTGTGCTGAAATAGGTGCAGATCTTCATTTTTGTAAACAGTTTGTTTTTAGCAGTAATTTAATGCTGGGCGTGTCATCGTGATTGACAGCTGTGATTGACAGTTTCTCAAAGCAGCGCGTCTGAGCTTCGGCAGGAGACTAAAGTGTTATTATTCGATTTCTGTGTTATTTTACCATGACAAAATGAGTTCAGCAGTAAACTACAGTTTCTGACATACATGATCCTGGTGGAACTCTGTTTATTCGCTGAGGTCAGGGCTTTTTTCAGGCTTTATTAGTTTGCTGATACACGCCTAACCACCCAGATAGCAAAATACACTCGGGCCAGTTCCGGCTAGATTCTCGCCTGCCGGAGACTTACCCCTCAGAGCTCAGACTGACTACCTCTGCTGGACCTACTCCGGATGCGCTGCCGCATGCGAGCCGGAATCAGCCCGCGACGCCGCAAGTAGGTTATGCGCTGCGGTCCGGAGCTGGTGCGATTGAATATATAAAACCCTCATATTTGTTAACGTTATTACATCCATTTGTGTTGATATGACAGCAAACGCATGCTGAGCAGTTCGGGGGGCGTGGTTGATTTTACATAAAGCGTTTGATTGGAAGCTCGACTCTGCTCATTTTCGCGGCTCCTCCTCTGGCTCCATCAGACAGTCCTTCTGCGCATGTCAAGGCTCCAATTTCAGCAGTCTTTTGCGACAGTTTGTGCCCGTCAAGCAGGGGTTTTGCCCTCAAGGCGTTCAATGGGAAAAGGGCTGTCGCGTCATCCATATTTTTTACAATCATTGTTGGAGACCCCCAAAAACAAAATATGCATAATAGGGGTTCTTTAAGACAAGCAATATCTGCAACTTAACGACCTGAAAATCAACAGTAATCTA